ATGGGATGGGATGTATGCATGAGAAAGGCAGGCTAAAATGTGCCGGATAGGATGGGAGGGATGGGATTGGAGGGATTTGATGGCTGCCATTCGGGTGTGTGGTGTGGGAATGGGGCGCCTGGGGGGTATTGGGGTGCCCAGGATGATACAGGGCTGATATTGGGGTGCCTGGGGGATATTGGGATGATATTGGGGTACCCAAGGGGATATTGGGGTGTCAGTGGGGGTATTGGGGTGCCCAGGACCAAACCAGGGTGGTATCAGGTCGCTATTGGGGTGCACTGGGGCAAGAATGGGGGACCCACGTTGTTACCAGGGTGGTATTGGGGTGCCTGGGGCTGGTTTTGGGGTGTTTTGGGCGTGTTTGAGGGGGTGTTTGGCCCCATGGGGGACGGGGGGGGTGTTTTGGGGGCTGTTCTGGTGGGGGTTTGGGGCTGGTTCAGGGCTGTTCTGGATCTGGTTTGGGGCTGGTTTGGGCTGGTTTTGAGCTGTTTTGGGGCTGTTTGTGGGCTCTTTGGGGCTGTTTTGGGCTGTTTTGGGGCTCTTTGGGGCTGTTTCGGGTTTCTTTGGGGCTGTTTTGGGCTCTTTGGGGCTGTTTTGGGGCTGTTTCAGGGCTGTTTTGGGGCTCTTTTGGGCTGTTTGGGGCTGCTCTGGGGCTGTTTTACGGCTGTTTGGGGCTGTTTCAGGGCTGTTTTGGGGCTCTTTGGGGCTATTTTGGGCTGTTTGGGGCTGTTTTTGGGGCTCTTTGGGGCTGTTTTGGCGCTGTTTTGAGGCTCTTTGGGGGCTGTTTTGGGCTGTTTTGGGGCTCTTTGGGGCTCATTTGGGCTGTTCTGGGGCTGTTTTAGGGCTCTTTGGGTCTTTTTTGGGGCTCTTTGGGGCTCTTTCGGGCTGTTTTGGGGCTGTTTGGGGCTGTTTCAGGGCTATTTTGGGGCTCTTTGGGGCTATTTTGGGCTGTTTGAGTCTGTTTTGGGGCTCTTTGGGGCTGTTTTGGGGGCTCTTTGGGGCTGTTTTGGCGCTGTTTTGGGGCTGGGGCTCTTTTGGGCTGTTTTGGGGCTCTTTGGGGCTCTTTTGGGCTTCCTTGGGGCTCTTTTGGACTGTTTTGGGGCTCTTTGGGGCTGTTTTGGGGCTATTTTGGGTTCTTTGGGGGCTCTTTGGGGCTGTTTTGGCGCTGTTTTGGGGCTCTTTGGGGCTCTTTTGGGCTGTTTTGGGGCTTTTTTGGGGCTCTTTTGGGCTGTTTTGGCGCTGTTCTGGGGCTGTTTTGGGGCTCTTTGTGGGCTCTTTTGGGCTGTTCTGGGGCTCTTTTGGGCCGTTTCGGTGCTCTTTGGGGCTGTTTCAGGGCTCTTTGTGCCCGCACCCTTCTCGGCCAGCGACACGCGGTAGTTCTCCAGGAAGAGCACCCGGAGGCGGTCGCCCACGGCCGGGTCGTGGTTGACGATGTCCCCGATGGACGTCACCAGCTTGATGATCATCTTGGCCATGTGGTACCCGGGGGCAGCCTGGGGGGGGGGGGGAAAGGGGTCAGCAGCACCCCCAAACCCATGGGGACCCCCCTGGAGTCATCCCTGTGTGTCCCCCCCCATCCCATCCTCACCTTGCCCCCGATCATGACGGTTCGGGGCACAATGGGTTTGCTGGGGTCCTTCTTGATCCCTGCAAGGGGGGAGCTCAATCAAGGGGGGGCCCAAATTGTAGCTGGGACCCCCCAGTGAGGGGGTGTTGGGGGGGATGTTGGGGTCGCTGGGTTTGGGGGGGGGGCACTGGGAGCCATGGGCATTCCTGTGGGGTGTCCCATTGGGGGTCCCATTGGGGTGTCCCTTAGGGGGTCCCATGGGGTGTCCCATAGGGGGTCCCATAGGGGGAATCCATGGATGTCCCATAGGGGTGTCCCATTGGGGTGTCCCCTAGGGGGTCCCATTGGGTGTCCCTTAGGGGTGTCCCATAGGAAGAATCCATGGATGTCCCATAGGGGAGTCCCATTGGGGGTCCCCTAGGGCTGTCCCATTGGGTGTCCCCATGGGGTGTCCCATAGAGGGTCCCATTGAGTGTCCCATTGGGTGTCCCTTAGGGGTGTCCCATAGGGGGAATCCGTGGCTGTCCCATAGGGGAGTCCCATTGGGGTGTCCCATTGGGTGTCCCATAGGGGTGATCCATGGGGGTGTCCCATAGGGTGTCCCATTGGGTGTCCCATTGGGGTGTCCCATTGGGTGTCCCCTAGGGGTGTCCCATAGGGGAGTCCCATTGGGGTGTCCCATAGCAGTGATCCATGGGGGTGTCCCATAGGGTGTCCCTTTGGTGGTCCCATTGGGTGTCCCCTAGGGGTGTCCCATTGGGGGGGGGTCCATGGAGGGGTTCCATGGGGTGTCCCATTGGGTGCCCCATAGGGGGTCCCATAGGGGGAATCCGTGGATGTCCCATAGGCGAGTCCCATTGGGGTGTCCCCCTGGGGTGTCCCATTGAGTGTTACATTGGGAGTCTCATAGGGGGAATCCATGGATGTCCCATAGTGGTGTCCCATTTGGTGTCCTATTGGGGGTCCCACAGGGGTATCCCATAGGGGTTGTCCCATTGGGTGTCCCATAGAGATGTTCCATCCAGTGTCCCATTGGGGTATCCCATTGGGTGTCCTATCGAGTGTCCCATTGGCTGTCCTACTGGGTGCCCCATTGGAGGTCCCAGAGGGGTGTCCCATTGGGTGTCCCACAGGGGATGTTCCATTGGGTGTCTTTTTGAGTGTCCCATTGGGTGTCCCGTAGGAGTGTCCCATTGGGGTATCCCATTGGGTATCCCATTTTGTGTCCCATAGGAGTGTCCCATTGGGGTATCCCATTGGGTGTCCCATAGGAGCATCCCATTGGGTGTCCTATTGGAGGTCCCATTGGGGTATCCCATTGGATGTCCCATAGGAGTGTCCCATTAGGGTATCCAATTGGGTGTCCCATAGGAGTGTCCCATTGCAGTATCCCATTGGGTGTCCCATAGGGGTATCCCATTGGGTGTCCTATTGGAGGTCCCATTGGGGTATCCCATTGGGTGTCCCATAGGAGTGTCCCATTGGGGTATCCCATTGGGTGTCCCATAGGAGCATCCCATTGGGTTATCCCATTGGGTGTCCTATTGGAGGTCCCATTGGGGTATCCCATTGGGTGTCCCATAGGAGTGTCCCATTGGGTGTCCCATTGGGGTGTCCCATAGGGGTATTCCATTGGGTGTTCTATTGGAGGTCCCATTGGGGTATCCTATTGGGTGTCCTATTGGAGGTCCCATTGGGGTATCCTATTGGGGGTCCCATAGGAATGTCCCATTGGGTGTCCCATAGGAGTATTCCATTGGGTGTCCTATTGAGTGTCCCATTGGGTGTCCTATTGGAGGTCCCATTGGGGTATCCCATTGGGTATCCCATAGGTGTGTCCCATAGGGGTATTCCATTGGGTGTCCTATTGAGTGTCCCATTGGGTGTCCGATAGGAGTGTCCCATTGGGGTATCCAATTGGGTGTCCCATTGGGTGTCCCATTGGGGTATCCCATTGGGTGTCCCATAGGAGCATCCCATTGGGGTATCCCATTGGGTGTCCTATTGGAGGTCCCATTGGGGTATCCCATTGGGTGTCCCATAGGAGTGTCCCATTGGGGTGTCCCATAGGGGTATTCCATTGGGTGTCCTATTGGAGGTCCCATTGGGGTATCCTATTGGGGGTCCTATTGGAGGTCCCATTGGGGGTCCCATAGGAATGTCCCATTGGGTGTCCCATAGGAGTATTCCATTGGGTGTCCTATTGAGTGTCCCATTGGAGGTCGTATTGGGGTATCCCATTGGGTGTCCCATTGGGGTATCCCATTGGCTATCCCATTGCAGTATCCCACTGGGGTATCCCATAGCGATGTCCCATAGGGGGGGTGTGGGTGCCGGGGGGTCCCATATGTGTGGGGCTCTCACTGTTGTAGAGGGTGATGACGTGGAGGCAGTTGAGGAGCTGCCGCTTGTACTCATGGATGCGCTTGACCTGGACGTCGAAGAGCGAGGCCGGGTTCACGCGCACCCCATATTCCTTCTCCAGGAACGCCGCGAACTTCACCTTGTTCTCCTATGGGGTGGGAAGGGGGCACAGGGTGAGGGACACCCCCCCCCCCGCACCCCACTGCAGGGACCCCATTGCCCCCCGTTGCCCCCCGGGACCTGCTTGACGGCCGCCACGTCCCGGATGAAGCTCTCGTCATCCACGAAGCCGCGGAGCTTCTGGAGCTGGTCCAGGTCGGACACGAAACCTTCCCCGATGCGCTGGGGACACGGAGGGCAGAGACCCATGGGGACCCATGGAGAGCAGAGAGACCCATAGAGACCCATGGAGAGCAGAGAGACCCATAGAGACCCATGGAGACCCATAGAGACCCATGGAGACCCATAGAGACCCATAGAGACCCATAGAGACCCATGGAGAGCAGAGAGACCCATAGAGACCCATGGAGACCCATAGAGACCCATGGAGAGCAAAGAGACCCATAGAGACCATACAGACCCATAGAGACACATAGAGACCCATAGAGACCCATAGAGAACCCATAGAGACCCATAGAGACCCATAGAGACCCAGAGAGACCCATAGCGAGACCCAGAGAGACCCACAGAGACCCAGAGAGACCCACAGAGACCATAGAGACCCATAGAGAGACCATAGAGACCCAGAGAGACCCATAGAGACAATAGAGACCCACAGAGACCATAGAGACCCATAGAGACAATAGAGACCCACAGAGACCATAGAGACCCAGAGAGACAATAGAGACCCAGAGAGGGACCCAGAGAGACCCACAGAGCCCACAGAAACCCATAGAGACCAGAGAGACCCAAAGAGACCCATAGAACCCCATAGAGACCACAGAGACCCAGAGACCCAAAGAGACCCATAGAGCCCATAGAACCCCAGAGAGCCCCAGAGAGACCCACAGACACCATAGAGACAATAGAGACCCATAGAGACCGATGGAGACCATAGAGACCCATAGAGACCATAGAGACCCATAGAGACAATAGAGACCCATAGAGACCCATGGAGACCCATAGAGACCATAGAGCCCCAGAGAGCCCCATAGCCCCCCATGGGGCTCACCTGGGCGATGGCGTCGGCCAGCCCCGGGTTGCAGAGCAGGAGCCAGCGCCGCGGCGTGATCCCATTGGTCTTGTTCTGGAACTTCTTGGGCTCCAGGTCATAGAAGTCCTTGAACCTGCCCCACAAGGCAGGGTCAGACCCATGGGGACCCATAGAGACCCATAGGGACCCATAGGGACCCATAGGGACCCATAGGGACACATTGACATAGGCAACCATGGGGCCCATGGCAATGGATGGGGACCCATGAGGATGGGGACCCACGGCCATAGGGATCCATGGGGGGCCCACAGTGACAACACCTATGGGGACAAGAGCCCACAGCCATGGGGACCCACAGTGACTCCCAAGGACCCCCAGACTGGTGGGGACCCATAGGCTATGGGGCTGAGAGCAAAGACAGGACAGGGATGGGGATGGAGATGGGGACAAGGGATGGAGCTGGGGTGATTGAGGGATGGGGGCTATGGGACGCTATGGGGCACTGTGGGGCACTAGGGTAACTATGGGGGTCCGTACACGCTGCTCTTGAGGATGTCGGAACGGATGCGCATGACACTGTTGATGGTGCTATGGGGACTATGGGATGCTATGGGGCACTGTGGTAACTATGGGGGCTATGGGATGCTGTGGGGCACTGTGGTAACTATGGGGGCTATGGGATGCTGTGGGGCACTATGGTAACTATGGGGGCTATGGGATGCTGTGGGGCACTATGGTAGCTATGGGGGCTATGAGACCTATGGGATGCTATGGGGCACTATGGTAACTATGGGGGCTATGGGATGCTATGGGGCACTATGGTAACTATGGGACCTATGGGATGCTGTGGGGCACTGTGGTAACTATGGGGGCGATGGGGGCTATGGGATGCTATGGGGCACTATGGTAACTATGGGGGCTATGGGGCACTATGGGGGCTATGGGTGCTATGGGCACTATGGGCTCTATGGACGCTATGGGGGCCATGGGGCACTATGGGTGCTATGGGCTCTATGGATGCTGTGGGTACTATGGGGTGCTATGAAGTGCTATGGGGCACTATGGGGTGCTGTGGGGCACTATGGGGTGCTATGGCTGCTCTGGGATGCTATAGGCACTATGGGGTGTTCTGGGGTGCTATGGGGGCGCTATGGGTGCTATAGAGGCGCTATGGGTGCAATGGGGGCACTATGGGGTGTTATGGGGCACTATGGGGCGCTATGGGCGCAATGGGTACTATGGGCACTATGGGGTGCTATGGTCAGTATGGGCGCTATGGGGCACTATGGGCGCTATGGCTGCTATGGGCGCTATGGGTGCTATGGGTGCTATGGGGTGCTATGGGGCTCTATGGGGCGCTATGGGGCTCTATGGGGGCTATGGGTGCTATGGGGCTCTATGGGTGCTATGGGTGCTATGGGGCGCTATGGGTGCTATGGGGTGCTATGGGGCACTATGGGTGCTATGGGGCGCTACGGGTACTATGGGGCGCTGGTGCACTAGGTGCTATGGGGCACTATGGGTGCTATGGGGCACTATGGGTGCTATGGGGCACTATGGGTGCTATGGGGCACTATGGGTGCTATGGGGCGATATGGGGCGCTATGGGGCGCTATGGGTGCTATGGGGCACTATGGGTGCTATGGGGCGCTATGGGTGCTATAGGGCTCTATGGGTGCTATGGGGCACTATGGGTGCTATGGGGCGCTATGGGGAACTATGGGCTCTGGGTGCTATGGGGCACTATGGGGCACTATGGGTGCTATGGGGCACTATGGGTGCTATGGGGCGCTATGGGTGCTGTGGGGCACTATGGGTGCTATAGGGCTCTATGGGGCGCTATAGGGTTCTATGGGGCGCTATAGGGCTCTCTGGGGCACTATGGGGCACTATGGGTGCTATGTGGCACTATGGGGCGCTATGTGGCACTATGGGCGCTATAGGGCTCTATGGGGCGCTATAGGGCGCTATAGGGCTCTATGGGGCGCTCCGGCTCCGTACACGCTGTTCTTGAGGATGTCGGAGTGGATCTGGGCGACGCCGTTGACGGCGTGCGCGCCCACGATGCAGAGATGCGCCATGTTCACGCGCTTCACGGCGCCCTCCTCCACCAGCGACATCCGCCGCAGCCGCTCGTGGTCCCCGGGGAAGGCGGCGTAGACCCGCTGGGGGGGAGGCACAGTGACCCACGGGGACACAGAGAGACACAGGGACACATAGGGACCCATAGAGAGACACAGGGACCCATAGGGACACATAGAGAGACACAGGGACCCATAGGGACCCATAGAGAGACACAGCGCGCCCATAGATGACACATAGACACATGAGAGACATGTTCACGCGCATAGGGACCTCATACCACACATAGAGAGACACAGGGGCCCATAGGGACACATAGGGACCCATAGAGAGACACAGGGACCCATAGGGACACATAGAGAGACACAGGGACCCATAGGGACACATAGAGAGACACAGGGACCCATAGGGACGCATAGGGACCTCATAGAGAGACACAGGGACCCATAGGGACCCATAGAGGGACACAGGGACACATAGGGACCCATAGAGAGACACAGGGACACATAGGGACACATAGAGAGACACAGGGACCCATAGGGACACATAGAGAGACACAGGGACACATAGGGACACATAGAGAGACACAGGGACCCATAGGGACACATAGAGAGACACAGGGACCCATAGGGACACATAGGGACACATAGAGAGACACAGGGACCCATAGGGACACACAGGGACACACAGAGAGCCAGAGGGACACACAGGGACCCATAGGGACACATAGGGACCCATAGAGAGACACAGGGACACATAGGGACACATAGAGAGACACAGGGACCCATAGGGACACATAGAGAGACACAGGGACCCATAGGGACACATAGGGACCCATAGAGAGACACAGGGACCCATAGGGACACATAGAGAGACACAGGGACCCATAGGGACCCATAGAGAGACACAGGGACCCATAGAGAGACACAGGGACCCATAGGGACACATAGAGAGACACAGGGACCCATAGGGACCCATAGAGAGACACAGGGGCCCATAGGGACACATAGGGACACATAGAGAGACACAGGGACCCATAGGGACACATAGGGACACATAGAGAGACACAGGGACCCACAGGGACCCATAGAGACACACAGGGACCCATAGGGACCCAGAAAACCCCATAGAACCCCATAGGGACAAACAGGGACCCATAGGGACCCATAGACACAGGGACCCATAGGGACCTCATAGACAGACACAGGGACCACATAGAGAGACACAGGGACCCATAGGGACACACAGGGACTTCATAGACAGACACAGTGACCCACAGGGACCACATAGAGAGACACAGGGACCCATAGGGACACATAGGGACTTCATAGACAGACACAGTGACCCACAGGGACCCATAGGGACCCATAGGGACCCATAGAGAGACACAGGGACCCACAAGCACCCCAAGAGCTCAGCATTGGTAGGACCCCAAAGCCAGAGAGACCCACATGGACACAGCATGCCCCCATACCCCATATCCCACACCCCATCCCCCATATCCCATACCCCATATCCCATATCGCACATCCCCTACCCTATAACCCATCCCTATAGGCCATACCCCATATCCCACACCCCATACCCCATATCCCATACCCCATATCCCATATCGCACATCCCCAACCCTATAACCCATCCCTATAGGCCATACCCCATATCCCACACCCCATACCCCATATCCCACACCCCATACCCCATATCCCATACCCAATACCCCATATCCCACACCCCATACCCCATATCCCACATCCCACACCCCATACCCCATATCCCACACCACGTATCCCATACCCACACCCTACACCCCATATCCCACAGCCCATACCCCATATCCCGCACCCCATAAACCATATCCCCCACCCCATATCCCATACCCCATATCCCATATCCCACGCCCCATATCCCATATCTCACACCCTGTATCCCATACCCTGTAGCCCACACCCCATCTCCCACACCCCACACCCTGTATCCCATACCCCATATCCCATACCTCACACCCCATATCCCACACCCCACACCCTGTATCTCATACCCCATATCCCATATCCCACACCCCATATCCCTTACCCCACACCCCCTATCCCATACCCCATATCCCATACCCCACACCCCATATCCCATATCTCACACCCTGCATCCCATACCCCGTAGCCCACACCCCATCTCCCACACCCCACATCCCATACCCCATACCCCTTACCCCATACCCCATATCCCACACCCCACACCCTGTATCTCATACCCCATATCCCTTACCCCACACCCCCTATCCCATACCCCATATCCCACACCCCACACCCCATATCCCATATCTCACACCCTGTATCCCATACCTCGTAGCCCACACCCCATCTCCCACACCCCACATCCCATACCCCATATCCCATATCCCACACCCCACACCCCTCACCCCCCACGCCTTATATCCCATATCCCACACCCCATATCCCACACCCCACACCCCATATCCCATATCTCACACCCTGTATCCCATACCTCGTAGCCCACACCCCATCTCCCACACCCCACATCCCACACCCCATCTCCCACATCCCACACCCCACACCCTGTATCTCATACCCCATATCCCTTACCCCATATCCCTTACCCCATATCCCATATCTCACACCCCATATCCCATATCTCACACCCCACACCCCACACCCCACATCCCCCCACCCCCCACCCCCCACACCCCACACCGCCCCCCGCCGCCCCGCTCACATCCAGGAACCTCTGGTTGATCTCGTAGATGATCTGGAGGTGCCGCGGGAGCAGCGTCTCCAGCAGCCGCACGGGCCAGCGCTCCAGCGCCTCGGGCAGCACCGTGTGGTTCGTGTAGGCGCAGGTGCGCACCGTGACCGCCCAGGCCTGGCGAGCACAGGGAGCATGGGGACACAGGGAGCATGGAGAACATAGGGACCATGGGGAGCATGGGGACACACAGGGAGCATGGGGAGCATGGGGAACATAGGGACCATGGAGAACATAGGGACCGTGGGGAGCATGGGGAGTGTGGGGAGCATAGGGACCATGAAGAACATAGGGACCATGGGGAACATAGGGAGCATAGGGAACATAGGGACCGTGGGGAACATAGGGACCATAGGGAACATAGGGACCGTGGGGAACATAGGGACCATGGGGAACATAGGGACTGTGGGGAACATAGGGACCGTGGGGAACATAGGGACCATGGAGAACATAGGGACCGTGGGGAACATAGGGACCATAGGGAGCGTGGGGAACATAGGGACCATGGGGAACATAGGGACCGTGGGGAACATAGGGATGTGGGGAACATAGGGAGCGTGGGGAACATAGGGACCATGGGGAACATAGGGACCGTGGGGAGCATGGGGAGTGTGGGGAGCATAGGGACCATGAAGAACATAGGGACCATGGGGAACATAGGGACTGTGGGGAACATAGGGACCGTGGGGAACATAGGGACCATGGAGAACATAGGGACCATGGAGAACATAGGGACCGTGGGGAGCATAGGGACCATGGGGAACATAGGGACCATGGAGAACATAGGGAGCATAGGGAACATAGGGACCATGGAGAACATAGGGACCGTGGAGAACATAGGGACCGTGGGGAACATAGGGACCGTGGGGAACATAGGGACCGTGGGGAACATAGGGACCGTGGGGAACAGAGGGACCGTGGGGAACATAGGGACCGTGGGGAACATAGGGACCGAGGGGAACATAGGGACCGTGGGGAACATAGGGACCGTGGGGAGCATAGGGACCATAGGGAACATAGGGACCGTGGGGAGCATAGGGACCATGGATAACATAGGGACCATGGGGAACATAGGGACCGTGGGGAACATAGGGACCATGGGGAACATAGGGACCGTGGGGAGCATAGGGACCATGGGGAACATAGGGACCATGGGGAACATAGGGACCGTGGGGAACATAGGGACCGTGGGGAACATAGGGACCATGGGGAACATAGGGACCGTGGGGAGCATAGGGACCGTGGGGAACATAGGGACCGTGGGGAACATAGGGACCGTGGGGAACATAGGGACCGTGGGGAGCATAGGGACCATGGATAACATAGGGACCATGGGGAACATAGGGACCGTGGGGAACATAGGGACCGTGGGGAACATAGGGACCGTGGGGAACATAGGGACCGTGGGGAGCATAGGGACCGTGGGGAACATAGGGACCGTGGGGAACATAGGGACCATGGGGAACATAGGGACCATGGGGAGCATGGGGAGCGTGGGGAACATAGGGACCGTGGGGAACATAGGGACCGTGGGGAACATAGGGACCGTGGGGAACATAGGGACCGTGGGGAGCATGGGGAGCGTGGGGAACATAGGGACCGTGGGGAACATAGGGACCGTGGGGAACATAGGGACCGTGGGGAACATAGGGACCGTGGGGAGCATAGGGACCGTGGGGAACATAGGGACCGAGGGGAGCATGGGGACCGTGGGGAACATAGGGACCGTGGGGAACATAGGGACCGTGGGGAACATAGGGACCGTGGGGAGCATAGGGACCGTGGGGAACATAGGGACCGTGGGGAGCATAGGGACCGTGGGGAGCATAGGGACCATGGGGAGCATAGGGACCATGGGGAGCATAGGGACCGTGGAGAACATAGGGACCGTGGGGAACATAGGGACCGTGGGGAGGGAGGTGGGGAGCATGGGGAGCGTGGGGAGAGTGGGGACATGTGGGAGCGTGGGGAACATGTGGGACCGTGGGGAGCATAGGGACCATGGGGAGAGCATGGGGAGCATGGGGGGCCCCACCGTGGGAGAGCCCTGCATAGGCACACCGGGAGGACCCTGCCCCAGCATGGACCCACCTTGTCCCAGCCAAGCTTCTCCTCATCCACCAGGATCCGCATGAGCTCTGGGACCATGGGGAGCATGGGGAGCGTGGGGACCATGGGAACATAGGGACCGTGGGGACATGGATGGGACATGGATGGGACCTGGAGGGGACATGGATGGGGACATGGAGGGACATGGAGGGGATATGGAGGGGACATGGAGGGGACATGGAGGGACCGTGGGGACATGGACCGTGGGAAATGGGGACATGGATGGGGACATGGAGGGGACATGGATGGGACATGGATGGGGACATGGGGGACATGGAGGGACATAGGGACATGGAGGGAGCATGGGGGGACATGGGGAGGGGCCATGGGGACATGGAGGGGACATGGATGGGACATGGAGGGGACATGGAGGGGATATGGATGGGACATGGAGGGGACATGGAGGGGACATGGATGGGACATGGAGGGGACATGGAGGGGACATGGATGGGACATGGAGGGGACATGGATGGGGACATGGATGGGACATGGATGGGACATGGAGGGACATGGATGGGACATGGAGGGACATGGAGGGGACATGGATGGGACATGGAGGGACATGGATGGGACATGGAGGGACATGGATGGGACATGGAGGGGACATGGAAGGGGACATGGATGGGACAGGGAGCGAAATGAAGTGGACATGGAGGGGACATGGATGGGACATGGAGGGGACATGGAGGGGACATGGATGGCTGGGACATGGATGGGACATGGAGGGGACATGGAGGGACATGGATGGGACATGGATGGGACATGGAGGGGACATGGAGGGGACATGGATGGGGACATGGATGGGGACATGGATGGGACATGGATGGGACATGGATGGGGACATGGATGGGACATGGAGGGGACATGGAGGGGACATGGTGGGGACATGGATGGGACATGGAGGGGACATGGATGGGGACATGGATGGGACATGGAGGGACATGGATGGGACATGGAGGGGACATGGATGGGGACATGGATGGGACATGGATGGGGACATGGAGGGGACATGGATGGGACATGGAGGGACATGGATGGGACATGGATGGGACATGGATGGGACATGGATGGGACATGGAGGGGACATGGAGGGGACATGGATGGGGACATGGAGGGACATGGATGGGGACATGGATGGGACATGGATGGGGACATGGATGGGGACATGGAGGGGACATGGAGGGGACATGGAGGGGACATGGAGGGGACATGGAGGGGACATGGATGGGGACATGGATGGGACATGGAGGGGACATGGATGGGGACATGGAGGGGACATGGATGGGGACATGGAGGGGACATGGATGGGACATGGATGGGACATGGAGGGGACATGGATGGGACATGGATGGGGACATGGATGGGGACATGGATGGGACATGGAGGGGACATGGATGGGACATGGAGGGGACATGGAGGGGACATGGATGGGACATGGAGGGGACATGGATGGGGACATGGATGGACATGGAGGGGACATGGAGGGGACATGGAGGGGACATGGATGGGACATGGATGGGTACATGGAGGGGACATGGATGGGACATGGAGGGGACATGGAGGGGACACAGATGGGAGGTGTTTTGGGGGTGTTTTAGGGTGTTTCTGGCTGGTTTTGGGGTGTTTCAGGTGGGTTTTAGGTTCTTTTAGGGGGTTCAGGCTGGTTTTGGGGTATTTTTGGGTGATTCCAGTGGGTTTTGGGGTGTTTTTGGGTGGTTTGGGTGGTTTTTGGGGTGGTTTTGGGTTTTTCAGGTGGGTTTTGGGGTGGTTTAGGGTGTTTCGGGCTGGTTTTGCGGTGTTTTGGGTGGTTTTTGAGGTGTTTCCGGTGGCTTTTGGAGTGTTTCCGGCGGGTTTGGGGGTGTTTCAGGCGGGTTTTGGGGTGTTTCAGGCAGGTTTTGGGGTATTTCAGGCGGGTTTTGGGGTATTTCAGGCGGGTTTTGGCGTGTTTCAGGCAGGTTTTGGGGCATTTTGGGGTGTTTCCGGTGGGTTTTGGGGTATTTTGGGGTGTTTCAGGCTGGTCTTGGGGTGTTTCAGGCAGGTTTTGGGGTATTTTTGGGTGTTTCAGGCGAGTTTTGGGGTGGTTTAGGGTGTTTCGGGCTGGTTTTGGGGTGTTTCGGGTGGTTTTTGAGGTGTTTCTGGAGGGTTTTGGTTTGTTTCAGGCGGGTTTGGTGGTATTTTTGGGTGTTTCAGGCAGGTTTTGGGGTATTTTGGGGTGTTTCAGGCTGGTTTTGGGGTGTTTCTGGCAGGTTTTGGGGTGTTTCCAGCAGGTTTTGGGGTGTTTCTGGCGGGTTTTGGGGTATTTTGGGGTGTTTACATCGGGTTTTGGGGTATTTTGGGATGTTTCGGGCTGTTTTTGGGGTGTTTCCAGCGGTTTTGGGGGTATTTTGGGGTGTTTCCAGCAGGTTTTTTGGTATTTTGGGGTGTTTCGGGCTGGTTTTGGGGTGTTTCCAGCGGTTTTTGGGATATTTTGGGGTGTTTCCGGCAGGTTTTGGGGTATTTTGGGGTGTTTCCGGCAGGTTTTGGGGTATTTTGGGTTGTTTCAGGCGGGTTTTGGAGTGTTTTGGGGTGTTTCCGGTGGGTTTTTGGGTGTTTCCGGTGGGTTTTGGGGTGTTTCTGGTGGGTTTTGGGGTATTTTTGGGGTGTTTCCGGTGGGTTTTGGGGTGTTTTTGGGTGTTTCCGGTGGGGTTTGGGGTGTTTCCGGTGGGTTTTGGGGTGTTTCTGGCGGGTTTTGGGGTGTTTTGGGGTGTTTTGTGGATATTTTGGGCTGGTTTTGGGGTGTTTTGGGGTGTTTCGGGCTGGTTTTGGGGTGTTTCTGGCAGGTTTTGGGGTGTTTTGGGGTGTTTCGGGCTGGTTTTGGGGTGTTTCCGGCAGGTTTTAGCTCTCACCTTGTCGGGGAAGGCCTCGAACGAGGTCCTCACGGGGTCGCGGCTCCCGAACTTGGCGGACTTGAAGCGCCGGACGATGTCGTGCAGCGTCGCCGCCACCACGAAGTATTCCTGCTTGAGCCGCAGCTCCTTGCCCTCGAAGAACTGACCCACAGCGGCGCTCAGGGACCCACAGCGCACCATAGCGCCCCATAGTGACCCACAGCTCCCCATAGCGGCGCTCAGGGACCCATAGCACCCCATAGTGACCCATAGTGACTTACAGCACCCCATAGTGACCCATAGTACCTCACAGTGCCCCATAGTGATCCCCATAGGACCCCCCATAATGACCCCATAGTGACCCCTATAGAACCCTCCATAGTGACCCCCCCATAGTGACCCCCATAGCGCCCCCCCATAATGACCCCATAGTGACCCCATAGCAACCGTAACATCCCATAATGACCCCATAGTAACCCCATAGTGACCCCTCCCCCATAGGCCCCCCCATAGTGACCCCCAGAGTGATCCCCATAGGGACCCCCCCCATAGTGACCCCCATAGTGACCCCCCATAGTGACCCCCATAGTGACCCCCATAGTGACCCCCATAGGACCCCCCATAGGCCCCCCCATAGTGACCCCCATAGGGCCCCGCTCACGTTGTCATTGGGGTACAGCACTCGGGAGATGTTCTCAGCCAGGTTCCGGTCCAGCACGGCCTGAACGTACCCCCCGACATTGACTGTGGGGACACAGGGGGGGGGTCATTGGGAACAGGGGGTTCATGGGGGTCAGGGTGGTTTGGGCTGTTTCAGCCTGGGTTGGGGTGTTCTAGGGCCGGGTTTGGGGCTGTTTCAAGGTGTTTTGGGGCTGTTTCAGGGTGTTTTGGGGCTGTTTCAGTGTGTTTTGGGGTTGTTTCAGGGTGTTTTGGGGTTGTTTCAGGGAGTTTTGGGGCTGTTCTGGGTCATTTTGGGCTTGTTCCGGGATGGTTTGGGGTTGTTTCAGGGTGTTTTGGGGGGTTTCAGGGTGTTTTGGGGTTGTTTCAGGGTGTTTTGGGGCTGTTTCAGGGTGTTTTGGGGTTGTTTCAGGGTATTTTGGGGCTCTTTCAGGGTGTTTTGGGGGGTTTCAGGGTGTTTTGGGGCTGTTTCAGGGAGTTTTGGGGCTGTTTCAGGTCATTTTGGGCTTGTTCCGGGATGGTTTGGGGCTGTTTCAGGGGGTTTTGGGGTTGTTTCAGGGTGTTTTGGGGCTGTTTCAGGGTGTTTTGGGGCTGTTTCAGGGTGTTTTGGGGCTGTTCTGGGTCATTTTGGGCTTGTTCCGGGATGGTTTGGGGCTGTTTCAGGGTGTTTTGGGGCTGTTTCAGGGTGTTTTGGGGTTGTTTCAGGGTGTTTTGGGGCTGTTTCAGGGTGTTTTGGGGTTGTTTCAGGGAGTTTTGGGGCTGTTTCAGGGTGTTTTGGGGCTGTTTCAGGGTGTTTTGGGGCTGTTTCAGGGTGTTTTGGGGGGTTTCAGGGTGTTTTGGGGTTGTTTCAAGGTGTTTTGGGGCTGTTTCAGGGTGTTTTGGGGTTGTTTCAGGGTGTTTTGGGGCTGTTTCAGGGTGTTTTGGGGTTGTTTCAGGGTGTTTTGGGGCTCTTTCAGGGTGTTTTGGGGCTCTTTCAGGGAGTTTTGGGGCTGTTCTGGGTCATTTTGGGCTTGTTCCAGGATGGTTTGGGGCTGTTTCATGGTGTTTTGGGGGGTTTCAGGGTGTTCCTGGGCTCTTTCAGGCTGCTTAGGGCTGTTCTGGGGCTGTTTCAGGCTGTTTGGGGGCTCTTTTGGGGGGTTTTGGGGCTGTGTCTGGGTATTTCAGGGTGTTTTGGGCTGTTTCAGGGCGTTTCAGGCTGTTTTGGGGCTATTTCAGGCTGTTTTGGGGCTGTTTCAGGCTGGTTTTGGGCTGTTTTGGGCTGTTTCAGGATGTTTTGGAGCTGTTTTGGGCTGTTTCAGGTTATTTTGGATCTGGTTTGGGCTGTTTCAGGCTGTTTTGGGGCTGTCTCAGGCTGTTTGGGGCTGTTTCAGGCTGTTTGGGGCTGTTTCAGGGCTGTTTCAGGCTGTTTTGGGGCAGTTTCAGGGTGTTTTGGGGTTGTTTCAGGGTGCTTTGGGCTGTTTCAGGCTGTTTCGGGGCTGTTTCAGGCTGTTTTGGGGCTGTTTTGGGGCTGTTTCAGGCTGTTTCAGGCTGTTTTGGGCTGTTTCAGGCTGTTTTGGGGCTGTTTCAGGGTGTTTGGGGGCTGTTTCAGGCTGTTTTGGGCTGTTTCAGGCTGTTTTGGGGCTGTTTCAGGCTGTTTTGGGGGCTGTTTTGGGCCGTTTCTCACAGTCCTTCAGGTTGAAGTCGCAGGGCGCGCGGGCCGACCAGAGCCTCATGGTGTTCACGGTGTTGTTGCGGTACCCGGGTACGGGGGTGTCGTACGGCAGCGCCAGCACCACCTGGGGGGCACCAGGAACAGCCCCCATCGCACCCCCCCCCCACATACCCCAGCCCCACCCCATTGGGGGGGGGCTCAGAGCCCAGCTCCTGCACCCATCCCTGTGCCCTCGCACGGCCCCATTGAAAACCATTGCACCCCCATTGCACCCCCTTGTCCCCCCCATGAGCTCCCCTTGAAGCCCTCTTGTCCCCCCTTTGAAACCCCCGTTGCCCCCCCTTGGACCCCCTTTGAGGCCCCCCTTGCCCCCCATGAATCCCCCCTTAACTTGTCCCCCATGACCCCCCCGTTGCCCCCAAGAACCCACCTTGACCCCACTGTGCCCCCATGACCTCCCCATTGCCCCTCATGAACCCCCCTGTTCCCCCCCATGAAACCCCCTTGTTCCCCTTTTGCCCCCCCATGAGCCCCATGACCCCCCTTGTTCCCCCATGAACCCCCTTGTTCCCCTTAACCCCCCCTTGAGCCCCCATGACCCCTCACTGTCCCCCATGAACCCCCCTTGGTCCCCCTTTGAACCCCCCATTGAGCCCCCCTTGAACACCCCATTGAGCTCCCCTTGCCCCCCTTGACCCCTCCTTGTTCCCCCCCTTGAACCCCCCATTGCCCCCCATGAACCCCGTTTTTCCCCCTTTGAACCCCCCATTGAGCCCCCCTTGCCCCCGATGACCCCCCCTTGTTCCCCCCTTGAACCCCCCATTGAGCCCCCCTTGTCCCCCATGAGCCCCCCTTGCCCCCCCATGCCCCCCCTTGTTCCCCCTTGAGCCCCCCTTTGAACCCCCCATTGCCCCCCTTGCCCCCCCCTTGACCCCTCCTTGTTCCCCCCTTGAACCCCCCATTGCCCCCCATGAACCCCCTTGTTCCCCCCCTTGAACCCCCCATTGAGCCCCCCTTGCCCCCCATGACACACCGGTGCCCCCCATGAACCCCGTTTTTCCCCTTTGAACACCCCATTGAACCCCCTTGCCCCCCCCATGACCCCCCTTGACCCCTCCTTGCTCCCCCCCTTGAACCCCCCATTGCCCCCCATGAACCCCCTTGTTCCCCCTTTGAACCCCCCCTTGCCCCCCATGACCCCCCCGTTGCCCCCCATGAACCCCGTTTTTCCCCTTTGAACCCCCATTGAGCCCCCCTTGCCCCCCCATGACCCCTCCTTGTTTCCCCCTTGAACCCCCCATTGAGCCCCCCTTGAACACCCCATTGAGCTCCCCTTGCCCCCCATGACCCCCCTGTTGCCCCCATGAACCCCCCCTTGCCCCCCATGAACCCCGTTTTTCCCCCTTTGAACCCCCCATTGAGCCCCCATTGCCCCCCCATGACCCCCCCTTGTTCCCCCGCCTTTAACCCCCATGTCCCCCCCTTGTCCCCCCCTTTCCCCCCCCTTGTCCCCCCCTTTCCCCCCACCTGTGTCTCGAGCCATCGGGCTCCGTCGGGGCCGTGCTCCACGCGCCCATAGAAGTGCACCGGGATCGTGTATTCGGGGCGCGCCTTCTCCCAGGGGTTCCCGTAGCGCAGCCAATCATCGGCCTCCTCCACCTGCCCCGGGGGCCAATCAGCAAAGAGCGACGAAACAGCCCCAAAATCACCCAAACCCAACCCAAAACCACCCAAACCCAACCCAAAAACCAGCCTCAAACAGCCCCAAAACCACCTGAACCCAACCCAAAAAACAGCCCCAAACAGCCCCAAAATCACCCGAACCCAACCCAAAAAACAGCCCCAAACAGCCCCAAAACCACCCGAACCCAACCCAAAAAACAGCCCCAAACAGCCCCAAAACCACCCGAACCCAACCCAAAAAACAGCCCCAAACAGCCCCAAAACCACCCGAACCCAACCCAAAAACCAGCCCCAAACAGCCCCAAAATCACCCGAAACCAACCCAAAAACCGGCCCCAAACAGCCCCAAAATCACCCGAACCCAACCCAAAAAACAGCCCCAAACAGCCCCAAAATCACCCGAACCCAACCCAAAAAACAGCCCCAAACAGCCCCAAAATCACCCGAAACCAACCCAAAAACCAGCCCCAAACAGCCCCAAAACAACCCCAAAACCACCCAAAAACCAGCCCCAAACAGCCCCAAAAACCCACCCAAACCCAACCCAAAAACCAGCCCCAAACAGCCCCAAAGCAACCCAAAAACCAGCCCCAAACAGCCCCAAAACCACCCAAACCCAACCCAAAAAACAGCCCCAAACAGCCCCAAAACCACCCCAAAACCCAAAAAAAACCAGCCCCAAAACCACACGAACCCAACCCAAAAACCAGCCCCAAACCGCCCAAAACCAACCCAAAAACCACCCGAACCCAACCCAAAAACCAGCCCCAAACAGCCCCAAACCAACCCAAAAACCAGCCCCAAACAGCCCCAAACCAGCCCCAAAACCACCCAAACCAACCCAAAAACCAGCCCCAACCAGCCCCCAAAGCAACCCAAAAACCAGCCCCAAAACCAGCCCCAAACCCAACCCAAAAACCACCCAAACCCCGCCCCAAACAGCCCCAAACCAACCCAAAAACCACCCAAACCAACCCAAAAACCAGCCCCAAACAGCCCCAAAACCACCCAAACACAACCCAAAAACCAGCCCCAAACAGCCCCCAAAGCAACCCAAAAACCAGCCCCAAAACCACCCAAACCAACCCCAAAACCAGCCCCAAACAGCCCCAAACCAACCCCCAAACCAACCCAAAAACCACCCAAACCCAACCCAAAAACCAGCACCAAACAGCCCCAAAACTGCCCCAAAAACAGCACGAAACAGCCCCCAAAGAAACCCAAAAACCACCCAAACCCAACCCAAAAACCAGCACCAAACAGCCCCAAAACAAACCCAAAACCAGCACCAAACAGCCCCAAAACTGTCCCAAAACCAGCACCAAACAGCCCCAAAACCAGCACCAAACAGCCCTAAAACAACCCCAAAACCACCCCAACCCAAAACCCAGCCCCAAACAGCCCCAAACCAACCCAAACCAACCCAAAAACCAGCCTCAAACAGCCCCAAACAGCCCCAAACCAACCCAAAAACCAGCCCCAAACAGCCCCAAACCAACCCAAAACCCAACCCAAAAACCAGCCCCAAACAGCCCCAAACCAACCCAAAAACCAGCCCCAAAACCACCCAAACCAACCCCAAAACCAGCCCCAAACAGCCCCAAACCAAAACCCCAGCCACAAACCAGCCCCAAAACCAACCCAAAAACCAGCCACAAACCAACCCCAAAAACCAACCCAAAAACCAGCCCCAAACAGCCCCAAACCAACCCAAAAACCAGCCCCAAACAGCCCCAAACCAACCCAAACCAACCCAAAAACCAGCCCCAAACAGCCCCAAACCAACCCAAACCAACCCAAAAACCAGCCCCAAAACAGCCCCAAACCAACCCAAACCAACCCAAAAACCAGCCCCAAACAGCCCCAAACCAACCCAAACCAACCCAAAAACCAGCCCCAAACAGCAACCACACACCCACCCCAAAAACCAGCCCCAAAAACCAGCCCCAGCCCCAAACCCAAACCCCCAAACCAGCCCAAAAACCAGCCCCAAACAGCCCCAAAACCACCCAAACCCAACCAAAAAACCAGCCCCAAACCAACCCAAACCAACCCAAAAACCAGCCCCAACCAGCCCCCAAAGCAACCCAAAACCACCCAAACCCAACCCAAAAACCAGCCCCAAACAGCCCCAAACAGCCCCAAACCAACCCAAAAACCAGCCCCAAACAGCCCCAAACCAACCCAAACCCAACCCAAAAACCAGCCCCAAACAGCCCCAAACCCCCAAACCCAACCCAAAAACCAGCCCCAAACAGCCCCAAACCAACCCAAAAACCACCCAAACCCAACCCAAAAACCAGCCCCAAACAGCCCCAAACCCAACCCAAAATCCACTAAAACCCTCCCCAAACCCACCCCCAAACCCACCTCAAACCCACCCCAAACCCTCCCCAAACCCACCTCAAACCCACCCCAAACCCTCCCCAAACCCACCTCAAACCCACCCCAAACCCTCCCCAAACCCACCTCAAACCCAAACTCAAACCCACCCCCAAACCCACCTCAAACCCACCCCAAACCCTCCCCAAACCCACCTCAAACCCACCTCAAACCCACCTCAAACCTACCCCAAACCCCCCCCAAACCCACCCCCAAACCCACCCCAAACCCACCCCAAACCACCCCAAACCACCCCAAACCCACCCCAAACCCACCCCAAACCGCCCCAAACCAACCCCAAACCACCCCAAAAACCAGCCCCAAACAGCCCCAAACCCAACCCAAAAACCAGCCCCAAACAGCCCCAAACCCAACCGAAAATCCACTAAAACCCACCCCAAACCCAACCTAAAACCACCCCAAACCCACCCCAAACCACCCCAAACCCACCTCAAACCCACCCCAAACCCCCCAAACCCCCAAACCACCAAACCCAAACCCACCAAACCCACCCCAAACCACCCCAAACCCACCCAAACCCACCCCAAACCCACCCCAAACCACCCCAAACCACCCCAAACCCCCCAAACCCCCCCAAACCCACCCCAAACCGCCCCAAACCCACCCCAAACCCACCCCAAACCCACCCCAAACCACCCCAAACCCACCCCAAACCCACCCCAAACCACCCCAAACCCACCCCAAACCCCCCCAAACCACCCCAAACCACCCCAAAACCACCCCAAACCCAACCTAAAACCACCCCAAACCCTCCCCAAAACCACTCCAAACCCGCCCCAAACCACCCCACCCCAAACCACCCCAAACCACCCCAAACCCACCCCAAACCCACCCCAAACCACCCAAACCCACCCCAAAACCCCAAACCACCTCAAACCCACCTCAAACCCACCCCAAACCCTCCCCAAAACCACCCCAAACCACCCCAAACCCACCCCAAACCACCCCATAACCCCTCTGGGACCCTTCCAGCCCCCCCCCCCCTCACCTGCCACCCCCCCGAGATCTTCTGGTTGAAGATCCCAAACTCGTAGCGGATCCCGTAGCCGTAAGCGGCCAGGCCCAGGGTGGCCATGGAGTCCAGGAAGCAGGCTGGGGTAACGGGAGAGTGGGGCAGTGGGGACAGTGGGGTAAATGGGGGTAATGGGGGCAATGGGGTAATGGGGGGCAATGGGGTAATGGGAGAGTGGGGCAATGGGGATCAATGGGGTAATGGGGGCAATGGGAGGCAATGGGGACAATGGGGTATTGGGGGCAATGGGGTAATGGGAGAGTGGGGCAATGGGGTAATGGGGGGCAATGGGGTAATGGGGGCAATGAGGACAATGGGATCAATGGGGGCAATGGGATCAATGGGGGGCAATGGGATCAATGGGGACAATGGGATCAATGGGCAATGGGATCAATGGGGGTCAGTGGGATCAATGGGGGACAGTGGGATCAATGGGGGTCAGTGGGATCAATGGGCAATGGGATCAATGGGGACAATGGGATCAATGGGGTCAGTGGGATCAATGGGGGCAATGGGATCAATGGGGGTCAGTGGGATCAATGGGGTCAGTGGGATCAATGGGGTCAGTGGGATCAATGGGGGTCAGTGGGATCAATAGGGGCAATGGGATCAATGGGTGCAATGGGATCAATGGGGACAATGGGATCAATGGGGGTCAGTGGGATCAATGGGGGTCAGTGGGATCAATGGGGGGCAATGGGATCAGTGGGATCAATGGAGGGCAATGGGATCAATGGGGGCAACGGGATCAGTGGGGGTCAGTGCAATCAATGGGATCAATGGGCAATGGGATCAGTGGGGGTCAGTGGGATCAATGGGCAATGGGATCAATGGGTGCAATGGGATCAATGGGGTCAATGGGATCAATGGGCAATGGGATCAATGGGGGGCAATGGGATCAATGGGCAATGGGATCAATGGGGGTCAATGGGATCAATGGGCAATGGGATCAATGGGGGTCAATGGGATCAGTGGGGGTCAGTGGGATCAATGGGCAATGGGATCAATGGGTGCAATGGGATCAATGAGGGTCAGTGGGATCAATGGGCAATGGGATCAATGGGGGTCAGTGGGATCAATGCAGGCAATGGGATCAATGGGGACAATGGGATCAATGAGGGCAATGGGATCAATGGGGGCAATGGGATCAATGGGGGCCAGTGGGATCAATGCGGGGCAAGGGGATCAATGGGGGCAATGGGGGGATCAATGGGGGCAATGGGGGGATCAATGGGGGGATCAATGGGGGCAATGGGGGATCAATGGGGGCAATGGGGGATCAATGGGGGGCAATGGGATCAATGGGGGGCAATGGGATCAATGGGGGGCAATGGGATCAATGGGAGTCAGTGGGATCAATGGGGGGCAATGGGATCAATGGGGGTCAGTGGGATCAGTGCAGGGAATGGGATCAATGGGGACAATGGGATCAATGGGCAATGGGATCAATGGGGACAATGGGATCAATGGGGGTCAGTGGGATCAATGGGATCAATGGGCAATGGGATCAATGCGGGTCAATGGGATCAATGGGGGTCAGTGGGATCAATGGGCACTGGGATCAATGGGATCAATGGGTGCAATGGGATCAATGGGGGCAATGGGATCAATGGGGGCAATGGGATCAATGGGGACAATGGGATCAATGGGGGTCAGTGGGATCAATGGGGATCAATGGGGTCTCACCCGCCAGCCGCCCCAGGCCGCCATTGCCCAGCCCCGCGTCCTCCTCGATCTCCTGCAGCTCCTCCATGTCCAGACCCAGCTGCGGGGGTTTGGGGGGGTCAGGGGGGACCCCAAAACCTCCCCCCCGAGCCACAGCCCCCCGTGACCCCCCCTTGACCCCCCCGTGACCCCCCCGTGACCCCTTTGCATCCCCCCCATCCTCCCCATGGCCACCCCTTTGTGCCCCCATTCTCCCCCCATCTGTGCCCCCACACATCCCCCCCGTATCCTTTTACTCACACCCCACATCCTCTCGTGTCCTCCATTTATCCCCTCCATGCCCCCCACTTACTCTGCCCCATATCCCCCCATATCCCCCTATCCCCCATATCCCCCTATACCCCCATATCCCCACATCCCCATCTCCCCTCATATCCCCCCACATCCCCCTATCTCCCCTCATATCCACCCCTATCCCCCTATCCCCCATATCCCCCCCATCCCCATCTCCCCAATATCACCATATCCCCCCATCCCCATCTCCCCTCATATCCCCCCATATCCCCCTATCCCCCATATCCCCCACATCCCCATCTCCCCAATATCACCATATCCCCCATCCCCATCTCCATTCATATCCCCCTATCCCCCATATCCCCATCTCCCCCCATATCCCCCCATATCCCATCCCCCATATCCCCCATATCCCCATCTCCCTCCATATCCCCCATATCCCCACACCCCCATCTCCCCTCATATCCCCATATCCCCCTATCCCCCATATCCCCCACATCCCCATCTCCCTCCATATCCCCCATATCCCCACATCCCCATCTCCCCATCTCCCCACATCCCTGTCTCCCCTCATATCCCCCTATCCCCCCTATCCCCCATATCCCCACATCCCCATCTCCCCTCATATCCCCCTATCCCCCCATCCCCCATATCCCCACATCCCCATCTCCCCACATCCCCGTCTCCCCTCATATCCCCATATCCCCCTATCCCCCCATATCCCCCCCATCCCCATATCCCCCCATCTCCCCCCATGCCCCCCATCTCCTCCCACCCCCCCATGCCCCCCATCTCCCCACATCCCCAATATCCCCATATCCCCCCATCCCCAATATCCCCATATCCCCCCCATTCCCCCCATCTCCCCCCATGCCCCCCATCTCCCCGCACCCCCCCACGCCCCCCATCTCCCCACACCTGGTACAGGGCCTCATCGCAGCCGCTCTGCAGCCCCAGGTTCACCATCGTGTTCTGCAGCGTGCGGCCCATGTAGAACTCCAGCGAGAGGTAATAGATGCGCTGGGGGGGGGGAGGGGGGGGCACACACACATCGGGGTCACACTGGGGTCAAGGACCCCTCCCCCACCACCACACACACACCGGGTCCCCCCCCTCCCCTCCCCCCGCTCTCCAGTGACCGGATTAAATGGCAGCGGCAAAGGTCAGGTTAAAATTAACCCGGCGGGGGGGGGCGGGGCGGGGCTGAGAGACCCCCATGGACGGCACCCCTCCCCCACATTGCACCCCCATTGCACCCCCACATTGCACCCTCCACATTTCATCCCCCACATTGCACCCCCATTGCACCCCCCCATTGCACCCCCCATATTGCACCCCCATTGCACCCCCCCATTGCACCCCCCATTGCACCCCCACAGTGCACCCCCCACATTGAACCCCCCCAATTGCACCCCCACATTGCACCCCCCATATTGCACCCCCATTGCACCCCCTACATTGCACCCATTGCACCCCCCGATTGCATTGCACCCCCCACATTTCACCCCCTGCATTGCACCCCCTACATTGCACCCCCACATTGCACCCCCCCCATTGCACCCCCACATTGCACCCCCCATATTGCACCCCCATTGCACCCCCACATTGCACCCCCCATGGACTGCACCTTCCCCATTGCACCCCCCCATTGCACCCCCCACATTGCACCCCCCACATTGCACCCCCCCATTGCACCCCCCATAGACTGCACCCCCCATAAACTGCACCCCCCATAATCTGCACCCCCATAAACTGCACCCCCAATAAACTGCATCCCCATAGACTGCACCCCCCCATAGTGCACCCCTCATAGTGACCCCCCCACACCGGCATCCTCAATGTACCCCCCCAGAGAGCACCCCCAAAGTGCCCCCCCATAGCGCACCCCAAAACAGCACCCCCAAAGTGCCCCCCCAGAGCACCCACTGAGTGACCCCCCCATAGTGAACCCCAGACCTGCACCCCCAAAGTGCCCCCCCAGAGAGCACCCACTGAGACCCCCCCATAGTGAACCCCAGACCTGCACCCCCAGACTGACTCCCCCAGAGAGCACCCCCAAACCAGCACCCCCAAAACTGAGCCCCTCAGCACCCACAAAGTGACCCCCCCATAGTGCTCCCCCCAAAGAGCACCCACCGAACCCCCATAATGCCTCCCCATAGTGCCCCCCCCCCCAGACCTGCACCCCCAGACTGCCCCCCCCAGAGAGCACCCACCGAGTGACCCCCCCATACTGGCCCCCCAAACCAGGGAGCACCCCCATAGTGACCCCCCATAGTGACCCCCCATAGTGACCCCCCAGAGCTGCACCCCCAAAGTGCCCCCCCAAACCAGCACCCCCAAAGTGCCCCCCAGGGAGCACCCCCACAATGCCCCCCATAGTGCCCCCTTCAGACCTGCACCCCCAGACTGACCCCCTCAGAGAGCACTCCTAGAGTGCACCCCCCAAGTGACCCCCCAGGCCTGCACCCCCAAAGTGCCCCCCCAGACCTGCACCCCCAAAGTGACCCCCCAGAGCTTCACCCCCAAAGTGTCCCCCCAAAGTTCTCCCCCCAAACCAGCACCCTCAAACTGCCCCCCCCAAAGTGCCCCCCTAAACCAGCACCCCCTAAGTGACGCCCCCCAAACCAGCACCCCCAAACTCCCCCCCAGACCGGCACCCCCAAAGTGCCCCCCCAAAGTGCCCCCTCAGAGCTGCACCCCCAAAGTGCCCCCCAACCCCCCCAAACCAGCACCCCAAAAGTGAATCCCCCCAAACAAGCACCCCCAAAGTGCCCCCCCAAACCAGCACCCTCAAGCTCCCCCCCAAACCAGTCCCCCCAAAGTTCCCCCCCAAACCAGCACCCCCAAAGTGCCCCCCCAAAAAACCAGCACCCTCAAACACCCCCCCAACCAGTCCCCCCCCAAAGTGCCCCCCCCAAGTGCCCCCCCCAACACCATCACCCCCAAAGTTCCCCCCCCAAACCAGCACCCCCAAAGTGCCCCCCAAACCAGCACCCCCAAAGTTCCCCCCCAAACCAGCACCCCCAAAGTGCCCCCCCAACACCATCACCCCAAAATGCCCCCCCAAACCAGCACCCCCAAAGTTCGCCCCCCCAAACCAACACCCCCAAAGTTCCCCCCCCGACCTGCACCTCCAAAGTTCCCCCCCAAAGTTCCCCTCCCAAACCAGCACCCCCAAACCAGCACCCCCAAACCAGCACCCCCAAAGTGCCCCCCAACACCATCACCCCAAAGTTCCCCCCCAAAACCATCACCCCTAAAATGAACCCCCCAAACCAGCACCCCCAAAGTTCCCCCCAAACCAGCACCCTCAAAGCTCCCCCCAACCAGCACCCCCCTCAAAGTGCCCCCCCAAAGTGCCCCCCCAAAAAAACACCCCCAAACTCCCCCCCAAACCAGTCCCCCCCAAGGTGCCCCCCCAACACCATCACCCCCAAACTCCCTCCCAAAACCAGTCCCCCCCCAAACTCCCCCCCAAAACACCATCACCCCCAAAGTTCCCCCCCCAACACCATCACCCCCAAAGTTCCCCCCCCAAAACCAGCACCCCCAAACTTCCCCCCAAGTACCCCCCTCAACACCATCACCCCCAAAGTGCCCCCCCAAACCAGCACCCCCAAAGTTCCCCCCCAAAACCAGTCCCCCCCCAAACCAGCACCCCCAAAGTGCCCCCCCAAACCAGCACCCCCAGTGCCCCCCCAAGTGCCCCCCCCAACACCATCACCCCCAAAGTGCCCGCCCCCCCAAACACCATCACCCCCAAACTCCCCCCCCAAACCAGTCCCCCCCCAAAGTGCCCCCCCCAAGTTCCCCCCCCAACACCATCACCCCCAAAGTGCCCCCCCCAAACCTTGGGGTCCTTCTCATAGTAGTACTGCTGGGTGCGGAGCCAGCGCCCCACGAGGTGGTCGCGCACGGTGTGCGCCAGCGCTTGGTAATAGTCCCTGGGGGTGGCCACGTTGCGGTCCTTGACGAGCGTGAAGTGCAGGTGCCGGTTGAAGCCCCGCTTCAGCTCCCCCACGTTCTCCGGCCCCGCAAGGCCCCGCACGCTGATCTGGCGCCGCCGCTCTTGGTCGCTCAGGGGACGGGACATGGCTGGGAGAGGGGGGGAACCGGGATGGGAGCGGGGTGGAACCGGGATGGGAGCGGGATGGAACCGGGATGGGACTGGGGCTGGAACCCGGATGGGAGCGGGATGGAGCCGGGCAGGAACCGGGGATGGAGCCGGGCAGGAACCGGGGCTGGAACCGAGGCTGGAACCGAGGCTGGAACCGAGGCTGGAACCGAGGCTGGAACCGGGCAGGAACCGGGGTGGAGCCGGGCAGGAACCGAGGCTGGAACCGGGCTGGAACCGGGACTGGAACCGGGCTGGGACTGGGGCTGGAACCGGGGCTGGAACCAGGCAGGAACCGGGATAGGAGCGGGATGGAACCGGGATGGGACTGGGGATGGAACCGGGCTGGGAGCGGGGCTGGAGCCGGGCTGGGACCGGGCTGGGACCGGGGCTGGGACCGGGCTGGAACCGGGCTGGAACCGGGATGGGAGCGGGATGGAACCGGGGCTGGAACCGGGCAGGAACCGGGGTGGAGCCGGGCAGGAACCGAGGCTGGAACCGGGCTGGAACCGGGATAGGAGCGGGATGGGAGCGGGGGTGGAGCCGGGCAGGAACCGAGGCTGGAACCGGGCTGGAACCGGGATGGGACCGGGGATGGAGCCGGGCAGGAACCGGGCTGAAACCGGGATAGGAGCGGGATGGAACCGGGCTGGGACTGGGGCTGGGACCGGGCTGGGAGCGGGGATGGAGCCGGGCTGGGACCGGGCTGGGACCGGGGCTGGGACCGGGCTGGAACCGGGCTGGAACCGGGATGGGAGCGGGGCTGGGACCGGGCAGGAATCGGGCAGGAACAGGGGTGGAGCCGGGCAGGAACCGAGGCTGGAACCGGGCTGGAACCGGGATAGGAGCGGGATGGGAGCGGGGATGGAGCCGGGCAGGAACCGGGATGGGAGCGGGGCTGGGACCGGGGTGGAACCGGGCTGGGACCGGGAGGGATTGGGGGGGGCTCCGCGCTGGAGGCGGTGGCGGCGGCGCCCTCGGGGTTAAGAGCACGCGGCTCATTGCGTATTCATGAGGGGGCGGAGCTGGCGGAGGGACACGCCCCAGGCATGCGATTATAGCGCCCCCGCGCTGTTATTCATGAGGGGGAGGAGCTTGTGGCGAGCCAAACCCGCCCTCTCAGTACTGCAATATCCCGTTAGGGACCCAGTGCTGTTTATTATTCATGAGGGGGCGGAGCATGTGGCAAGCCAAAACCTCCCTCCCATTGCTATAGCATCCCATTGAGAACAACGTGCTGTTTATTATTCATGAGGGGGCGGAGCATGTGGCGACCCAAAACCTCCCTCCCATTGCCATAGCATCCCATTGAGAGCACCGCGCTGTTTATTATTCATGAGGGGGCGGAGCATGTGGCAAGCCAAAACATCTCTTGCATTACCATAGCGACCCAATGGGAGCCCAGCACTGTGAATTATTCATGAGGGGGCGGAGCTCGCGGAGGGACACGCCCCAATCATGTGGTTAATTATTCATGAAGATTGCACTGCGATTATAGCACCCCCTCTGGGACCCGCGCTATTATTCATGAGGGGGCGGAGCTTGTGGTGCACCAACCCCCCCCTCCATTACCATAGCATCCCACTGCTGTTTATTATTCATGAGGGGGCGGAGCGTGTGGCACACCAAAACCTCCCTTGCATTACCATAGTGACCCAATGGGAACCCAGCGCTGTTTATTATTCATGAGGGGGCGGAGCGTGTGGCACACCAAAACCTCCCTTGTATTACCATAGCATCCCATTGGGAACCCCACGCTGTTTATTATTCATGAGGGGG